TGTTTCATGAGAAACTATTTGTTCTGTAAGCCTTCACCTGAAGTACAATAAAATATTAAAAAAAAAAAAAGAAACCAAAAGGACATATTGCATTGGGCAAATGTGCTGCAAAAGACCTCTTTAAAAATCTTAAAAAGCAAAGATATCACCATGAGGACTAAGGTGAGGCTAACCCAAGCCATGATATTTTCAATCACCTCATATGCATGTGAAAGCCGGGCAATGAATAAGGAAGACTGATGAATAGATGCATTTGAATCATGGTGTTGGTGAAGAATATTGAATATACCATGAACTGCTAAAAAAATGAACAAATCTGTCTTGGAAGAAGTTCAGCCAGAATGGTCCTTAGAAGCAAGGATGGCGAGACTTCGTCTCATGCACTTTGGACATGTTATTAGGAGAGACCAGTCCCTGCAGAAGGACTCATGCTTGATAAAGTAGAGTCAGTGAAAAAGAGGAAAACCCTCAACGAGATGGATTGACACAATGGCTGCAACAACGGTCTTAAACATAGTAACTATTGTGAGGATGGCGCAGGACTGGGCAGTGTTTTGTTTTGTTGTACACAGTGTTGCTATGATTTGGAACTGACTCAAAGGCACCTAACAACAACATTACTAGCAGATGTAGCAGATTAGTTAGATCACTTGTGAACAGAGATTGATATCTGCTCTCACCCTGGAGAAAGCAAGGGGCTGGAGGATTAGGGCACAGAACAGGTAGAGGGTGGGGAAGGAATAACTATGAAAAGACTGAGAACAAGGAGTCCTTCCAGAGTCTGGGAAGGGCAGTGAAGTGGGAGGCCTGGACGCAGTGAACAAACACAGACTTGGAGATAAACACCTCGGTGTAAACCTTGCACTTACTAGGTGTAGGGCAGAACTTAATCTCTTAAACTGCAGGTTCCTCTTCAATAAAACGAGGATAGTGCTCTCTTTGGCACCACATACACTAAAAATTGGAACGATACAGAGAAGATTAGCACAGGCCCTGCACAAGGATGACACCCTAATTCGTGAAGCATTCCATGTTTTTAAGCAAAGGCAAAAAAGCAGGAAGGGACAGGAAAACTGGACCAATAGGAACAGGGAAGCTGGGGTGGAAAGGAAAAGGGGGAGAGTGCTGACACAATGTGGGGATTGCAACCAATGTCACAAAATAATTTGTGTATAAATTTTTGAATGAGAAACTAATCTGCGCTGTAAACTTTCACCTAAAGCACAGTAAAATAAAATAAGGATAATAAAACTTATGTTTTATTGCAAGTATTAATGAAGATGAAGGAAGTGCCTGTACTTTAGAGCATTGTTCTGCCACTTTCTAGTTGTGGATCCTTGGACAAATTAACATCTCTAAGCTGTAATTTCCTCATCTGTAAAATAGGAATGATAAAAGTACCTATCTCATGGGGTTAAGGATTAAATAAGATAACGCATCTAATGTGCCTGATAATAATGTCTAATGATGATGATGGTGATGCTGGTGGTATTAATTGTATTATCTCACATGACAAGAAGTCCTAAAGTTGAGAGGTTCCAGAATGGTTAATTCAGCGGCTCAAGGATGGCACTGAGGATCTGAGCTCTTTACAGCCTTCACTCTTTCTCAGCACGTTGATTTTTTTCTTAACGTGTGCTGTTCCCTCATGGCTGCAAGATGGCTGCCACTACTCCAGATACACATCTTCTTCTAACAATCTCCAAAGGTGGAGAAAGGAAGAGACCACTCCTTTTCCTTTTTAAGAGAAAGAAAAATTGTTTTTGAACCAGGAGACTTTCCCTCCTGTCCATTAGCCAGAACTGCATACACATGCTGGTGCCTAAACCAATCCCTGGCCTGTCAAGAGACATGTAAAATCCTGGTTCTGTTAGCAAGGAAGAAGGTGGGCGTGGCTTTAGGGAAGACAATGAACATCAACCACCTCAATAATGATGATGGAAGTTATGGTCACTTAGAGGACAGAGCGCTGAGAGGGGAGAGGGAATTACATTTGGGTGAGAGGTAAAGAGCACCTTTGCTGTTCGGTGTAGTTCTTAAGAGTCTTAGGAGTCACAAAATTCTAAATTGAATTCTTGGCTCTGCCACTTTCTGTGTAAACCTGTGCAAGCTACCCTCTATGCCTTTGTTTCCACAGATGTAGAAGGCCAACATCTAACGGATGCTTGAGAATAAAATTAAGCCACACAGAGTAAGTGCTCAATAAATAAGTGAAACTATCATTAGTACTTCAGACCTAGCAACACGAACAGAAACAGGATTGGTTGCTATGCTAACAGTCATTGAAGCTATTGAATACAAATGTGTGTCTGTATCTGCTACTTCAATTTCTTCTGTGGGACTGAGGAAGAAGGGTCAGAATGAGGTGAGAAGATTAGGAGTGTAGCTGTGGAGCCAAATGGCCAGCACTCAAAATCTGCTTCCACTGCTACCATTTAGAATCTGTGTAATCTTGGAAAAGTTGTCGAACCAACTGTCTTGTGACTCAGTTTTCTCATCTGCAAAATGGGGTGATAGCTCATTGCATTGTGAAGATTAAACAAGTTAATGTGTAATGACTACCATGTAAACTCTCAGGAAAGGTCAGCTTTGTTAGAGGTTGTTCCCTTTTCACCAAAAAGAAGTTATCCTTTTCTACATCAGCTACCCACTTCGTAAATTGTCACTAAGGGCTCGTACCAAAACCAAGCTGGTTGCCACTGAGTCCAACTCATGGCAACCCTATATGACAGAGTAGAAGTGCCCCGTAGCATTTTTAAGGAGCAGCTGGTGGATTCGAACTGCCCACCTTTTGGCTAGCAGCCAAGTGCTTAACCACTGCACCACCAGGGTTCCAAGGGCTCCCATAAACCACCCGAAAACCTCAAACTGGCTGCCGTCAAGTCCATTCCAACTCATGGCAACCTATAGGACAGAGTAAAACTGCCCTATAGGGTTTTCAAGGAGCAGCTGGTGGATTCGAACTGCCCACATTTTGGTTAGCAGCCATAGCTCTTAACCACGGGGCCACCAGGACTCCAAGGGCTCCTATAGCAGCATTCAAACACCTGGTTTCAGTTTTTGCTATTCTCTTAATGGGCACATGGCCCCTAAGCATCAGGTGCTTCTGCCCCAATGTGATTGGCCAGCCTATCTCTCCAGAGGTAAGAGGGTCCAAATAAAATGGTTTGAAGACAAAAACTCAACGCATAATGTCACATTATTTATACAATTTCCTACTATTCCCAAGTTTTGTCTTAGTCTTTCTTATCACCCATGCTTTTCTTTGGCTTCCTGCCTGGAACTTTTTCCTATACTATGCTGCTACTTATTATAATCTCCAGTATTGACACTTTTTCTTTTACCCAGATTCTTTATGCATCATTACTAATAATCCCTTAAATGTGCTACATACTTATTATAGTTGAGAGGTAGAAATGTATGTATTCTTTTTATTTATTAAAATTTATTTATATTTTTCCACAGCCCACAAGGACTCTTACTGTGTCAGCGTATGTAAAATGTTAATCACACAGTAGTACTTGTTATAAATGCTAAATAATAAAGTATACAATTTAAACAAATATTTGCTGGGGGCCTACTGTGTGCACTGCGTTGTCTCCAGAGATGAGTCAGACACAATTCTTGGCCTCAAAGAGCTGTTGTATTCCTGTTTCGGGGTTAAGACTTGGAATGATAAATAAGTAAATACGACAAATACAAACACCTCTAAAAAAATACTTAAAGAGTTCTTTTAAAAACGATGGATTTAAAAGAGTTTGAAGTAGACGTCAGTAAATAATCATCAGAAAATGGATTATGTTTTTTTTAGTAGCCTTTAATATTTTAAATGGAGTCCTGGGTAGTGCAAATGGTTAACACGCTTGCTGCTAATCAAAAGTTGGAGGTTTGAGTCCACCCAGAGGCACCTCAGAAGAAAGGCCTGGTGATCTACTTCCAAAAAATCATCCACTTATTTAAAATTTGTATCTATTTTTCGACAGCCCACAGGGATTCATACTGAAGGAGCACAGTTCTACTCTGACACTTATGGGGTCGCCATGAATTGGAGTCAACTGCACTCACAACTGGGTTTTTTTGTTTTGTCTTTTGGGGTTTTGAGTTCATAGTAGCAGATAGTCCCTTTCTCTCAAAAAGAAACCTTTTCTCATGGAAACTCCACAGATACATCCCAATTCCCTGAGGGACTGAATTGCTGGGCGGAGGGCTGTGGGGACCATGGTCTCGGGGAACATCTAGCTCAATTGGCATGACACAGTTTATAAAGACAATGTTCTACATTCTACCTTGGTGAGTAGCATCTGGGGTCTTAAAAGCCTGTGAGCGGCCATCTAAGATATGCCACTGGTCTCACCCCTTCGGGAGCAAGGGAGAATGAAGAGAACAGGATACAAGGAAAAGATTAGTCCAGAGGACTAATGGACCACAGCTAACAAGGCTTCCACCAGACTGAGTCCAGTACAGCTAGATGGTGCCCCGCTACCACCACTCACTGCTCTGACTGGGATCACAACAGAGGGTTCTGGACAGAGCTGGAGAAGGATGTAGAACAAACTTCTAACACACACAAAAAAGACCAGATTTACTGGCCTGAAAGAGACTAGAGCATCCCCGAGAGTATGGCACCCAGACACCCTTTTAGCTCAGTGGTGCAGTCACTTCCGAGGTTCACCGTTCAGCTGGGGATTGGACAGCCCCATAAAACCAAATGGGACTAATGAGGCACAGCAGTACAGGGACAAGAACTAGAAGGCAGAAGGGGACAGGAAAGCTGGTGTTAGGGAACCCAAGGTTGAGTAAGGACAGTGTTGACATGTAGTGGGGTTGTTAACCATAGTTATAGGGCAACATGTGTACTAACTGTTTAATGAGAAATTATTTTGTTCTGTAAACCTTCATGTAAAGCGAGAGTAGCAGCACAACTTGAAGAACATAATTGATGTCAGTGAACTGGGCATGTAGAAATTTTTGAAATGGTGTATCTTTGGCTATGTATATTTTCCCTAAAAATAAAAGGTCGAGATGGGAGAGGGTTGACATGTTATGGGGTTGTTAACCAATATCATAAAACAATATGTGTACTGACTATTTAATGAGAGACTATTTGTTCTATAAACCTTCACGTAAAGTACAATAAAAAATTAAAAAAAAGCCTTCTCACTCAAAATCCTGGCTACAAACATGATTGTATTTATAGTCACACACCTATTCTGAAAAGTAGTTCAATTACAATAAACATTGACTCATTAACTCCCATTTCATAGTTTTTAGGGGATGAAAAATAAAAATACACATCTGAATAAAAAAAAAAGAAGAAACCTTTCCTAGCGTACCCACCCTTCAACATTCCACAGACAGAAAACATGGGTGCAGAGAAAAGTAGAGAACAAAAATGAAGCAAGTCTAGGAAATAACTTACTGAAGAGTACACCTCATGGAGGGAATGGAAGAAAGGGCTAGCAATTTTATTTACCGACACCCCTGTGTGTGTGTACTATATAAATATTGTCTGATTTAATCCTTAAAACAACTCTGTGGGGTAGGTACTGTTATCCTCTCTGTTTTTCAAATGAGGAAACAGGTATCAATAGGTCAAGTGACCTGCACAAAGCCACTCAGCTTGGGAGAGTGTGGAAGTTGCCGTGTTGGGTGGGAGAGTGGTGGAAAGGAGGGCTGATGGAGGTGGGGTGGCTTACCTCTCCTGCTCTTTCCTAACCTCACTTCTATTGGGGTCAACCTAATTCCACACGTGGACTGTATTCCTTTGTGTTCAAGTTAATTTGTAAGGTTGTCCTACATTCTCTTTTAGTCAGTGAGTCTATTTGAAGGCCCTTCGTCATAAGGGCACAAACATCTTTTCTAAGTGGGTCCTGTTTCTGCTAATTAAGGAAGACTGGGCGCTGGAACAAGCCAGGAGGGCAGGCTCTCTGCTTCACCCTCGTTGGCCTCATCTAGGAAAATGGACCCTGGGGATTCAAAAGAAATGTGAAGATAGAAGGCATGGCTGGGGCACCACTCTTCAGCTTGTTGAAAAACAT